ATGGACCCTTGTACCCAGTACTAGTCTTAGATCTACGTTGCTGCATGGACCCTTGTACCCTGTACTAGTTTTAGATCTAGGTTGCTGGATGGACCCTTGTACCCTGTACTAGTTTTAGATCTAAGTCGCTGCATGAACCCTTGTACCCTGTACTAGTTTTAGATCTAAGTTGCTGCATGGACCCTTGTACCCTGTACTAGTTTTAGATCTAAGTTGCTGCATGGACCCTTGTACCCTGTACTAGTTTTAGATCTAAGTTGCTGCATGGACCCTTGTACCAGTACTAGTTTTAGACCTAAGTTGCTGCATGGACCCTTGTACCAGTACTAGTTTTAGATCTAAGTTGCTGCATGGACCCTTGTACCAAGTACTAGCTTTAGATCTACGTTGCTGCATGACAACTGTAATATTGTGATATAAGAACATTTTTAGCAGGTTTTATTTTAACCTAATTCTGTGCTATTCTCTAAAACAGAGAAGTGAATAAAACAAAGATAAGGATAATGTGTTTTAAATCTGTTTTAAATATTTTGTTTTATAAATATTACCGGATATAAATCTTTAAATGTGGAAATGTTAAGGTTGTCACAGTCTGTATGTAAAATTTGCCATCTGCCAACTCTCTAAATCCAACCCATCCTATAAATTCAATTAAATTTAACCCATCCTACAAAATCCTCCTAATCCAACCCATCCTAAAAACTTCTCTGAATCCAACCCACCCTTATCAACTCCTCTGAATCCAACCCATCCTGCCAACTCCTCCCAACCCATTCCATATCCTAGCTAACCACCCTGAATCCAACCCAATCCTATCCCATCCTCTGAATTCAACCCGTCCTATCAACTCCTCTGAATCCAACCCCCCTTCTATCAACTCCTCTGAAACCTACCCATCCATCCAACTCATCTGAATCCCAACTATCCTACCAACTCCTCTGAATCCAACCTATCCTACCAACTCCTCTGAATCCAACCCATCCTAAAAACTCCTCTGAATCCAACCCACCCTTATCAACTCCTCTGAATCCAACCCATCCTGCCAACTCCTCCTAACCCATTCCATATCCTAGCTAACTCCCCTGAATCCAACCCATCCTACCCAACTCCTCTGAATACAACCCATCCTACCAACTCATCTTAATCCCTCCCATCCTATCCCATCCTCTGAATTCAACCCGTCCTATCAGAGTTGAAGGATACCCTGTAGATAGCTAGAGTTGTAGGATACCCTGTAGATAGCTAGAGTTGTAGAAAACCCTGTAGATAGCTAGTTGTAGGATACCTCTGAAACCTACCCATCCATCCAACTCATCTGAATCCCAACTATCCTACCAACTCCTCTGAATCCAACCTATCCTACCAACTCCTCTGAATCCGACCCTACCTACTAGCTCCTCTGAATCCAACCCATCCTACAAACTCCTCTAAATTCAAACCCATCCTACAAACTCCTCTGAATCCGACCCATCCTATCAACTCCTTTGAATCCAACCTATCCTATCAGCATTTCTGAATCCAACCCATCCTATCAACTCCTCCTAATCCAACCCATCCTATCAACTGCTCTGAATCCAACCCATTCTACCAACTCATCAGAATCCAACCCATCCTACCAACTCCCCTGAATCCAACCCATCCTACCAACTCCCCTGAATCCAACCTATCCTATCAATTCCCCTGAATCCAACCGATCCTATGAACACCTTTGAATCCAACCCGTCTTACCAACTCCCCTGAATCTAACCCGTTCTTCTAACTCCCCTGAATCCAATCCATCCTAAAAACTCTTCCTAATCCAACACATCCTATCAACTTCTCTGAATCCAACCCCTCCTACCAACTCCCCTGAATCAAACCCGTTCTACCAACTCCCCTGAATCCAACCCATTCTACCAACTTCTCTGAATCCAACCCATCCTACCAACTCCTCTGAATCCAACTCATCCTACCAACTTCTCTGAATCTAACCCATCCTACAAACTCCTCCTAATCCAACCCATCCTACCAACTCCCCTGAATCCAACCCGTTCTACCAACTCCCCTGAATCCAACCCGTTCTACCAACTCCCCTGAATCCAACCCATCCTACCAACTCTCCTGAATCCAACCCATCCTACCAACTCTCCTGAATCCAACCCATCCTACCAACTCCCCTGAATACAACCCATCCTCCAACTCCCCTGAATACAACCCATCCTACCCGGGTAGAATCTAAGAGTCTGAAACCTAGTCTTAGACGCCGGGCCGACCTCCTCAGACCCTCTGTTTTTGGAAAAAAATATAAAATTTCACCAAATATATGTAATATGAGAAAAAACCATTAAAATATTTGAGCATTCCTCTCCCCATCCCTTTCTTCAAGCACCCCTCCATAAGCCAGAGGCAGGCTCTAATATATTAAACTAAACTTACATATATGTTTATTTAGATTTTTTTCTTAGATGCATCAGTGTTGCTCTAGTATCCGAGGAGGATAAAAGCATTTAATTTAGAAAATTTTGATAATTCACATGATAGTTTCTAATAACCAAAATATTTCATTGATTTTTTATGTAAAAGATGGATCCCACATCAAGCTGTGACATACGCAAAGAGAATAGAATAAATATTAGACTGGAATTTAAACAATCCTTGTCAGTCCCTTTCAGCCTGAAAGGTAGTTCAAAGTGTACAAATCATGTAAATGTTCACAAATTATTTGCAGTATACAGTATGTTCCCTAGACTATCCATTTAAATTTCGAATTTTTTAAAGCTGTTAAATAAACTTTATAAAATGAATTATGAGAAAACATAATTTGATTTATAGTTATAACGGAAAATCATCGTTTGTAAAGTGAAAGGCATAGAGTCTGTGTGAAATGATAATTGGTCAATTATGAAACCAGCCTATTTCATAATTTGGTTTTCTTTTACTATTAATTTTAGATTTTCTATATAATGATGTTCCAGGGCCCAAAAGATTATATAGCGCAAATGTGTAAAGTACACCTGCAGTATGGAAACATTACAACAAAATGGCCGTTTTACATTTTTTTCTAGTAAATTCCACTTTAATATATATTCTATTCTCCTTGGACATCCGTATTGTGTTTTATTGACAGCACGGAGACAGTACACTGCAGTATTAAAAACTAGAAATTCAAGGCGCTTCGCGCCCTTCTTTCTAGCCTTAGCAAAAAATTTCGCGGATTTTCAAAATTTTTAAAAATTTAATGACGATCGAATTTTGATGGAGACAAATATTTGAAATTTTGATTTTTCATAAACCTTCCCTGGGGTCCCTAGATGTCCCACAAAAAATTTGGGCCCGATCGGTTCAGCCGTTTTGACGTTTATTGGATACAAACAAACAAACAGACAAACAGACAAGCCAAATTTATATATAGATGTATTACATCCGCTCAACGTTAAATCCGTCCTCTGATAATTCGGACCTACCCGCATTTGATTTTCTGTTGGTTTGATGAATTGTATTTCGGATAAACACTCAATTGAAAAAAAAGTAGTGTATCCGACCTTCTGTAGGTCGCTTTCACACTTCTGTAGCTGTTGGATGCTTATTAAGTTGTGGTTCCAAAATGAATAGTTTGCGTTAAGTTCCGGACAGAACAAAATTAATTAACAGAGCTTTTTCATTTTGGCTCATTGTAAATATTTGTTTAATTGTTTTTATCATATTGCATTATGTATTTGAAAATAAATACTAAACTAGATTTATAATGCTTTTTGATAAGATTATTCTGCGTAGCTTTTAAGGCTATTTATTTATTTCAGAAAAAACTTTCAACTATTTAATTTTGACTTGTTTTTGTCAATTACACATATTGTTTTCAGAATCCTTTTCTGTGCAAAACGTTAAGCAGCATTTTAACCAGGGAGTAAGGAATAGAAGGGAGACATAACTGACGCGGTTCGCCCTACCATATGATTATACATGCTTTGCAGACGAGTACTCCATTTGTATATGAAGTATTTGTACAATTACCGCGTATACAATAACCTATTCTGAATATTTCTTATAGAAATGGAGTACCGTCTGCAAAGCATGTATAATCATATGGTAGGGCGAACCGCGTCAGTTGTATCTCCCTTATTTTCCTTACTCCCTGATTATAACACTTAACAACATTCAAGACGACATTATATAAATTATTCCGTTGTCTTCTTTAATATGGGTTATACTTAGATAAAGAAAACTTTCAGGTGCTTTAATCCTATATTTTAGAATAACAACATAATATTTTATTAAAACAAAAGCTCAGAAGAGAATGGATTGAAAAAATATTTCGACTATTTTACATATGTTTTGAATAATATATAATGAAGGGTTTAGTCCCATGTATATTAATAGACCTGTGTGATGAAAACAATTTATCCCATAATAGTCAGAAGACCCATAGAATATGTTGTGGCCAATTTTTTGAAAAATATTTGAAATAAATCAATTTTTCATTGTTTTCATAGTAAATTTGTTACATTACATATAGTCTCAAGGTTTGCTCCAATAATTTATAATTCACAATTTTAACCATTATAAATCCCCTCTAACAGTAAGAAAATAAAAGATTACTCAAAATTTAACTTATATTACTTTACTCCAATTTTTATATAAAAGCACCATATTATTTTTCATCAAAACACAGAATGAATATATTTCGTAATTTTTCATAGAAGGAACACGCATAATAGAATTTAGTATAAATTTAACAAAAACTTAATAATTTAGATATTATTAAATTGGTAAAAATATAAATTTTTATCGTAACATAATTATAACTGATCAATTGTCTCAAACTCTAATCTAATTCTTAATGCCAAGGGCAACCTGATGTCGCGGAACCTTGATATTTTAAAAGTTAAAATATCAATATTCACTTTGTGCAGTTCCTTTATATCTTATAACAACTACAACATACAATTTTCATAGTGAGAAAACGTTAGAAAACGCAGTGAAAGTGAAAAAATATCCCCACATTTCTGATTTCGCTTTAAAGATTAAGGAACATAATTTATATTTCGCATTCAATATTTTAATGGAAAATTTATAAAAAATAATATTTTACCATAAAACGGTCTACACAAGTGCGTAACTTTCCATTCTACCACTAGTTAAAACCTACTCTTCAAAAGTTTTATCACAAATTTTTAAAAATAAAATTTTCAATAGTCGTCTTTCTAATTAACAATCACTGGTTTCTTTGCTTACTTATATACCAACAAGACAAGAAAATATAAGGCAAAATCTAGTGGAATACTTTCATACACAAAATATTAAAAACTAGAATGAAATTTTACATTAATAATTTTATCACTGAAAATAAGGATGCTTAAGACTTGATCGGAATGATTATCACAATAGGCTTTCCAGATAGAATTTTAAAAAAATGGCCTTAAAAAACTGCAGAATTTGAAAGGGCCACAAACAAAAACAAACTGAATAATGTACGTCAGAAATGAGATTCTGCACTTTGGGTGATCATGTAAAGTACATTCGGAATATTTTAACCAAATGTGATTCGTTATTCTGTGTTTGTAATACAGAAACCCGTATTATTGATTACATTCTACATAGTTCCAATTGATATAGGTGATCCATTCTAGTAGAAGGGTTCGTTCCAGTTCATGTCAAAACGGATCGGATACAGATAAGCTTAATTGTTGATATTTAATTCCCCTCTTCAAGAAATTTAAGCTTCTTAATAATGACATTCGGTAAGAAGTTGTTCAAATTATTACGCAAATGGTTAGACAGTGCTTTAATTTTGAATTTTTCAAGTTTAATTCGGTGGAATGGACCTGAACCTAGGCAGCTGAAAAATAGTCTAAAGAGGTTGGAAATTTTGTGTGGATATGATATCTGTTGAAGTGCGAAGGAAGTTCGTTCTTTAGTTGTGGAAGCAGTAACAAGGTCTAACCCTATAAAACTTAATGCGTACTTCTGACATCAATTGTTTTGAGAGAAAAAATCAGATAAAACGTTTAGATAATTTTTCTTCTAAATGTGATATCCGTATCCGCATAATACTTTAAAGGGATCATTTCGAACCGTGGGATCAAAACTAGTGAATGTGTTGATATAAGATAATACTTTTACATGATTTACTAGATTTAGGCTGAACTGGAAGCTTGGCTGTGATGTTTGAAAACTTGATCCTCAGTCAGATATAAAAAGTTCTTTTTTGTAAAATTGTTTTTAACTTTTACCCGAGGTTCAAGATTTCGGTCTTATCGGAAGATTTGTTGGTTGCAGGGTTAGGTTTCACTTGAAGGTTTAGGTTTTGCTAATTTTGGAATCTTAAACGAGGCAACAGCCTCACAAGTTGAAATACTCCGATTGAGGACTGGTAAAAAACTCCGCTTCTCCTCCTGAACTGAAACAGATCTTTTAAACTTTTTGGTTTCCGTCTCCGGTTCAATGCATTTTTCTTGTTTTTCAGACAGAGTTCTCTTCGTTTTCTTCTTCTTTCTTTTCTTAATAATGTGAGGAGATGAGGAGCGACTTCTTTTCTCCTCCGCGTCAGAATTTGGCAAGTCCCTGAAGTAGATTAATATTGTGTTAGTTTTAATAAATGCTAGCTGGAGTGCCCAGCGTTGCCCATAGAATTTAAATAAAAAGCGAATTAAAAAAATCAATTTTTGAAAAAAAATTATTTGTTTAGCCAGTGTTACGCAACGGGTACCCATGGGTTCCCCCCCCAAAAATTAAGCCCATTAGGTCCAGCCATTTGGCCAGCTATAGCTGACATATATATATATATATATATATATAGGAGCGAAGAACTTTTTTATATAGAGCTAGCTATATATATCAGCGAAGAGTTTCGTCATAAAGATTAGGAATTCACAACACTAAATCTTTCTCAATTTAAACATCTATACCTTTTTCTATGCACTTTCTTATCATTGTCACTTGAGCCGTCTGAATCCGACCCGATCAGTTTCATTATATAAATAGCTTTATCAAGAATCTTCTCCTTTCCTTCGTCCTGGAACTTGACACTGATCTTGGCTTTCTTGGTCATCCACGCCAGGACGTCTCCACCTCTCTTCTGCTTTCTGTTATCAAAACAGTCAAATTTTAGAGTGGTTGTGTTCATAAAAAATTAAAAGTTAAAAATCAGTTAGGGTTTGCTTACCGTTCGTCCAAACGTTTTCTTCTCTCATCCTCTTCACTGGAGACATCTTCATCACTTTCCGCTCGCAGCCTCTTCTTCTTCTTCTTCTTTTTATCTTTTCTACTCCTTTCACGATCAGAATTGGAATCCTGGAATTAAAGAACATTTTCTGAATTAAGTTATTTGATATTTAATTGAAGATTTGTATGATATTATACGAAAAGAAAACTTCTACTTGAATAAGTTTTAAATTAATGATAAAACTAAGAATTCGCTTTTTTTGGGAGCTGTAAAAGAATGACTCTGTAAGCCCCCATTTCTTGGATATTCCGGACACAACGGATGAGCTACACACTCAGCTGCCAGTACACCTGAACCACGCTTGACACGGTAAGGGAAAGATAGGACCAGGAGATCAGACAGGATCTAGATCCTGAATTTCCTGATTTTGATTAAAATCCATTACAAATATGGAGCCTCGGGATCAAGCATGGATCTCCATCTTCATCATTAATTTAATTTCTTTTTGATATCCATTGATGGTAATACCCTCCAGGTATAACTTTAATTCAAGGATCAAGCATTGTTCTCAAATATAAAAGTGCGCACAAAGCGTTCAAGATTAACAATTTCTCTACAAAGTTCCAATTTCTGTTATGAAAAATAAAAACCTCAAAATTTCATGTATATTTGTTATGGCTCAAGTATATCAAATCAGTGATAAGTTTGTGAAAATAAAACCAGGAAAAATAGAACGAACGAGTTTTATTACCTCATAGTCGTCCGGTACAAGCCAATCATTATCATCCTCAAATTTGAAGGGAGCCTTAGGTTTCAAATCCAAGACTTTTGAAACAGGACTTGATTTAGACTTCGTATGACTTGAACTGGATGATTTAGGTAGACTCGAACTAGAGGATTTCGAACTCGAATGTTTAGACTGACTCGAGCTTGATAGTTTAGACTGACTCGAAGTGGGATGTTTAGCTGGACTGGGTGAATGACTATGCTCTGCTGATTTGTTGGACCGATTAAACTCATCTTTTTCTTTTTGACGCTTTTTCTTCTTTTTCTAAAATAAAAAAAAAACATTTTATCAAAACTGTATGTAAATAAGAAAAAATGTGTAATTAAAAAAAGTAAGCGATGAAATTATTTGAAGGGAAAACCTATTTTGCTGTTTTCATAAAAATATCCCCTTACCCCCTTCTCCCATTCTTTATTAATAGAAGTTAAAACTAATTAAACTTTTGATACCTTTCTTTTCTCCTTGTAGATCGGATTATCGGAGTCGGACTCAACCAACCTTTTCTTAACCCTAGCAACCTTATCCTGCAGCTCATCAAGGATACTCAGATCTACATTTTCTAAACGAAAGAAGAAATACAAATATGGGATTGTGCACAAGTTTATGGAAGATTTTTATCGAAGAAAGGAAACAATGAAACAGAGATACAATCTGATCAGAGTCTGTGATGTGTACTATGCTCATTAAAGCACATACGCAAGGGAAGACAAGGAAGAAAAGATGAACTCTGGTCCTGATCCTTTATAAGTCCAGAGCTGAAAACTTTAGAATGGTGGATATCGAGATCAATGCTTGATCTCCTCTTTTTTATTAATCTCCAGATTATTTTAATCCTTCTACACTTAAGTACCTAGAATTCTACCAATCAGAGTGTACCAAAAGAAAGGATTCAGAAATTCATAAGTTTCCACAGTGAATATTCTAATTCTAAAGTTTTCAGCTCAGAGCTGAAAACCTAAGAATGGTGGATATCGAGATCAATGCTTGATCATCTCTTTTTGCTAATATAAAGACTAAATTAGTCTTTAGATTAATTTCTAGAGATTAGAGATGCCCTCGTTAACTATTGAAAACCCGTTTTTTTGCGCTATTCTGGTGTTGATGGTGTCATATCAATTGAAATAATGATCGATTGAACGAACATTGGGTTAATGTTTTTTAAGACTAGCGTTCAAAATGGCTATAGTCCTCAAATGTGCTAAAATGTTTTTAACAAGTTCATTTTAACATGATTAAATTCATATTTGTTTAAATGCTCTAAAACCCGGCTAGTGAACACTTAAGTTATATCGGATATTAGTCCAATCGATATAGCATCGTATCTGTGATTGTTATCAAACGTAACTTTTATACAGTAGGTATCCAAAAAAGAGGATCAAGAAGAAAATCAAAAGTGTGGACATTGGATACTCAGATTAAGGATATCCCATTCTAAAGTTTCAGCTTAGGATAAACATCAATATTTGTGTGGGGGGGGGGATACGAATGAAGAGAATTATTATGGCGAAATTGATTATTATAATTTTGTTTAAAAACATAATTAAATTAGAAAATCGATTTTTGATTGGAGACAGGTCAAGGCTTCTGGCCTAAACTCCAGGTGACTAATGCTATACAAAATGTTCAATAAACCCTGAACATTTTCTTTTAATTTGAACATATTTACTGGACGCAAACATTATTTAGTAAAAAAAGTTCAATAACATTTTTAATAAGCTAAAAGCCATTTTCTGAGACATGGGAGCCGATGCCCAAATTCAACTTGCCAACCTTTTTCATCCAACCTTTACAAAGACAAAGAAGTCTGCAAGTTCTCATTCGTTTTCCAGGGCGGGAATTGTTGAAGATATCCCTCCAATAAATTTGATATTTTCAAAGACTGCCAAGGAACAGGGGCGTACGAAGCATACGTGTGTGGAAAGGCACATTTGCCCTCGTACGACCTTGTCCTTTGTGCCCCCCCCCCCTTAAAAAACCCCTTTTTTTAAAAAAATATTGATACCTTTTTTAACTATGTAAACTTAAATTTATGTAACTTTTTTTTTAAAAGGGGGGGGGCCACAATGTTGCCAGGGGGGGGGGGCATAAAATCAGGCAATCCCTCTTAATACTGTGGTGTAAGCTTCAAGGGATGAAAAATATAGATGGAAACGTTTCTAAAAAAATATCTACATTTTCATAGGATTAATACATATTGTATAATAAATTATGCTGAATTATGATATCAAATTTATATTTACACTGAAGGCAGTATTGATTAAAGCTTTTTTTTAATGAAACTTTTTTAGTTAAGGGTAAAAGTGAGATTTTGAAGTATTCTTTTTCTATACAATGTAATTATATTTCAATGGAATACATGCAATTTCAAGTGACCCTCCATTTACAAAGTGGCATGTCTGATGTACCTTTGAATCCTTAATTTCTCCATCGTTTCTGAAGCAAGAAATGCGCGAGTCACTTTTGTAGAGAAACCACGAAAAAATATTCAGTTTTTAAAATGGGAAACATGGATGTTTAATGCAATACTTGATCAGACAAAGCGTTGAAGGGTATTGTTGTGAATCAGAATATATTTTAATTCTTTTCTTAATTTTTTAGTTAGGGTGAGTGCAATGCAATACAATGTAGAATGTAGATTGCCCGAGGAAGATGTAATATTAAAAGAACCCCCCCCCCCCCCCAAGAGTCCTTTCCCCTCGGAGGGGGCACGCGCAGGGGGGACGGGGGGCTCAGACCCCCCTCGTACGCCCCTGCAAAGGAACCCTTTATAAGACAGACAACTTCTTTAACTGTCCTGTCTAACCTCGAACCCAGAGAAGACTCTATGTAAGCTGCTAGTCTACAGAAAAAAGAACCAATTTAGCGATGAACATTAAACACTAACAGTCATGGCAAATAAATTTTGTATTCTTTATTTAAACGAAAAAAGGCTTTAAATTCTTACCTAAAGCATTTTCAGATTTAGGGTTTTCTGTGAGAATTGTAGCAGTTCCTCCACAGCTCTCAAACTCCTTTCGAACCTTAGGAGTGTCAGGATTAGGACCTTCACTCTCCTGAGAACATTCTCCAAATAGTTCTGTCACATAACTCTGATGTTTCCGGTTCCGTTTAGAATCTCCGGAGAGATGACGCTTTGTGGTTTTAGTTGATTTCGAGTTTGTATCTCTGGAGTAGTAGGTTATCAGATCAGGAGAAACTCGCGCAGGCTCAACAGGTTTAGCTGTGGAAGATTTCGTTGTTAAACTTGACGAGTTTAAAGAAATAGGATTGGTTGGAACTCCGAGGTTGGCCAGCAGTTCCTCAGGCTGGAGACTAATACTTTTCTTGGGAACAATTTCCTGGATATAATCCTGCGGAATATCAAAGTTTTCCGGCATCTTGAACTCGTTATCTGATCTATCCACACTATCCAGGGAGGAGTTTTGATCATTCTCCAGCTCAGGATATAGATCATTTTCATCTTCAGCAGACTCTTCATTGTCGTTTGTAAATACTGGTGAATCAGATTGTTCTTCCGTATGCGTTCCCTCTTCAATAATATTCTCTGTAGCATCTTTAACTTCCTCCTTGCTCCCGTGAACTTTATTCAATTCATCCAGGAAAACTAAACAAATATTATACCTCATAAAATATTGAGAAAACTAAACAAATATTATACCTAATAAAATATTGATAAAACTAAACAAATATTATACATATTATACCTAATAAAATATTGAGAAAACTAAACAAATATTGAAAAAACTTAACATTATTATACCTAATAAAATATTGAGAAAACTTAACAATATTATACATAATAAAATATTGAGAAAACTGAACAAATATTATACCTAATAAAATATTGAGAAAACTGAACAAATATTATACCTAATAAAATATTGAGAAAACTAAACAAATATTATACCTAATAAAATATTGAGAAAGAAATCCGTTTCGTGAGTTAAAATATATATATTATATAATCATAAACTCTACGGCGAACAAGGATAGAATGATCCATACCTGAGATGGACTCTGGGGTTTCGTCGTAAGATCTATCCTGGTCCCCCTCAGCTATATGCTCTGCACCCCCGACAATGTGCTCGGCTTCCAAGTGTTTATCCCAAGCTGAGTTACTAGTAAATATTTTAAAACATATATCACAGTAGAATGTGTCAGGTACTCCAGGCTCAGTAGAGATTACATTAACTTCACCAGGACTGAGTTCAAGTTTATCAAGTTTATCCGTTGACTCAACCATTATTTTATCACCGTTGGTTTCCTTATCACACACCGCGGGTTCACTCTTCTCCACATTATTACAACTTGGAGATATGGATTTATCAAGATCATTATCATTCTTCCGGGTATCAAGATTAGCTCCGTCGGTAACATCTTCATTGTTTACTTCAGGATTCACAATCATGTTTTCATTGATTGAACTCTTGGACAGAACTGAATCTAGTTCGGAGCTAGAAAGAGCCGGAGCTTTCTCGGAACGATCCTGAATTTGATCCGGTAGCAAGCTCTCCGACCGATCCTGTACCTGCTCCGGTAGTAAGCTCTCGGATCGATCCTGAACCAGCTCCTGCCGCAAGCTCTCCGACTGATCCTCATCCTGCTCCGACAGCAAGCTATCGTCGGTAACAGAAGGATTCAATCTAAAACATTAAGGAATGCACATTTTTCTACTATTGCCGTAAAAAGTCAAATTTTATCCCATTTAAAGATAAAGATTGAAAAAATATTGTAGGGCGTAGGGAATTAATGGGGGTTCGGACTTAGTAATAGTTTAAATTAATAAATTAATGACTTTGAATAGGTAAATCTTCCTTAACTTTTATTTTACCTTAAAGTTTCACACAGCTTGTTGAATTCAGATTTAAAGCTTCTTTTCATTTGAACCGACCCTAATTATAAAAAGCATACAAAAATAATATAATGAAAACGCAAAAATAGGAAATTTCCATGTGTTTACATTGAAACAATTAAAAGCCCAATTGTTTTAATAATTTTCTTCATCTTCTTTAACATATAATTGATAAAGTAATTTAAAAACATTCTTAAAGTTAGTATCAAAAATTGTTTTATCCTTAAAACAAAATCTAGGAAAATTTTCTTTAAAAATCATCACCCGATTAACAGAGGAAAATTGTATTAAAAAATTCTGAAAATTAAACTGGGATGGAGTCTATTTAAAATGATTATAAGCAAACTGAACCTGTGTATAGAAAGTGGATAAGTGCTCTGACTGTAGTCTGAGAGAAATCCAGATGAATTAAAGAATCTCCTCCAACTCTAACATCTACTAATCTCAAGCAGGAGCTGAGAATAGGACTGGCACTCAGAACACACTAGAACAGGGGGGTATATATTTTAAACATTGTCACATAGCAGAACTTACATTTGATAATTTAAAATACATAAAAATAAGACTTTCAGGTTGCTTCGCGTCCCTGGTTCTATTTTAAATGGTAGAAATTGTTGTTTTTATCATTTTGTCTTCTTAATTCAGAAGAGCTTTACTCATTATTTTTGTTCTGCTGTAGGCAAGGCAAGGGAGGCCAGCCACAACAATTTCTTGTTTGAACCACATTCTCCCCGTTTTCTCGTTCGAGCCACTTCGAAATCCTCGTCCTTTGATTATTTTGTTGTTTTAAAGTTTCTAATTCTTGAATATATAAAACTATTTTTCAAATATCTGGCCATGTTAGAGCATCAAATATGGATAGACTAAAGAATTGCAATGAGTACATCATGTTGGAATCTTTAAAGCAATTAGACACTTTAAAAAGAAGGACGAGGATTGCGAGGTGGCTCGGACTAGAAATTGTTGTAGCTTGCCTTCCTCCCATCTAAGGCAGTCGAAGGACTAAAAAAATTACCCATAATTTTTCTCAGAAAATTAAATTCGACGAAACTTACACTATGCGCCATAAATCTGAATCCATCTGCTGTAATTATCTTAACATCTGCCTGGTTCATCCCAGAGGTGAGGAGGTGGGGCACCAGGACTCCGAGCCCCCCCTCCTTACTTTGCAGCTGTACCACACTTTTATTCATTCAGGGGCACCATTATTTCTGAAAAAAGGAACTAATCAATGTACTTTTGTCTATATTAGTGCACGTTTTATATTTTAAATAAGAAAATTTTAATCTAAAACAGGAAATGTTCCAAAATACAATAGTTGCTTTAAGTGATATTTAAATTACACTGAAATAACCAAATACTGAATTCATCTCTAGACAGCCTCCTATGTCACATTCCTTTAAAGAAGATGTGCGAATACAAAGAAACCAAAATTCTCCGTGTAGAAACTGCTTCTTAAGTTTTAATTCAACCTCGAAAAATAACATGATATAATTATATATACAAAAATAATTAATTATATATATACAAAAATAATAAAAAGATGATTCGATTGATTCTCAATTCTTGGCAAACCAAAATAGGTAATTTCCTAGAGAACGATTTTGTGAAATGATAATTGGTCAATTATGAAACCA